TGTTGTGAGGTTTGGGGTCCCGGGCAAGCCAAGCCTGGTAGTTACGAGGGCTGGGGGCGCCTCGGAAGTGCAGAACTGGCTTCTGCTCCCCTCGGGCTGGCGCCGCAGGCTCGTCCGTGCAAATCGTGGGAGGTGCCATCCTCCTTCCCGACACGGTTCCTCCCTGGGTGCGGGAATTCTGACCCCCAGCTTGGGGAAAGGGCGGTGAGGCCGGCAGGGAAGAACGGTCCCTCGCTGTAGTGCTCAGTCCAGCCGGGCCCAGGGGTCGCCTCGCATATCCCCGCCCCTGGGAGGCTTCCTGTCATGTCCATCTGCAAACCAAGCTCCAGGCCCGGAGGGACGCCTCTGCACTCCTACACTCCCCGTGCAAGGATTCAGGATTCAGATGTGTCCGTGGGATTCTCCGAAGTCCTTCTGCCTGCGACCTCCGCCCCGTGCCTCCAACTGTGAGTTCCCCATGGTGGCAGGATCCAGGTCGTCTGGTTCAGACTCCAGCCATATCCCTCGTGGTCCACCCTGGGCCACCAAGGTTTTCCGTGTCCAGGATCTCTGCTTGTTGTAAAGTAGGAACCTAAAGAAAGAGGAGACTGGTGGGCAGGTGGCGTGGTGGTTAAGGGCGCTGGACCGGCACATGGCGGACAATGGTTCAAGTCCCCAAACCTGGCGACTTGCTTTCTCACTCTCGCTCTCGCCCTCGCTCTCCTCTGTCCCACTCTGGTCAAATGAACAGATAAATAAATAAAGAGGGACCAGCAGATGGCGTAATGGTTACCACGCCGGACTCCCACATCATCAACAGCTGTTCAAGTCCCAGTGACTTAAAACCCACACTGTGTGCATGAGTGTGCGTGCCCAAAATCCCGAGAGGAGAATGGAGAAAGGATTGTAGCATGTGTGTGTGTGTGTGTGGGGGGGGTGATTTCTCACTTTCTGTCTCTCAGAAGAGTGTCTGTGCCCTATAGCAAAAATCTCTCTATAAATAAATCAGATTAAAGAAAATAATTTTTTAAAAAGGGGGTAGTGAGATGCATTCACTCCATCCATCCATCCATCCATCCATCTAACCTTTTATCCCCCCTTGGGAGAGGTTTTTTTTGCTATAAGGGCGTGTGCGCTCACCACAGAGAGAGAGAGACAGAGAGACAGAAAGCGAGAAATCACCCCCCAGGGGGCATGGCCACACCGCAATCCCTTCTCCTCCATTCTCCTCTCGGGATCTTGGGCACGCACGCACACATGCCTGGCGTGAGTGTAAGCCACCGGGTCCGGGACGCGAACCGCAGTCGACTACATGGGAGTCCAGCGACACAGCCATGACGCTAACTGCCAGTCCCCCATCCGTTTAACCATTTAACCAAGAGGCCTGCAGCTCCCTCAGCCTGGGCCATCTGTGGAGGAACCAAGCTGGTGCGGGGAGAGACGGGATTAGGCTAGAGGAAGAATGAAGCACGCTGTGGGGTCGGACTACACCGGCGTTCATTCAACACACATACTCTGGGCCCCTTCCGCCTTCCCCACCAAGTCCCCCCGTACTCTGTCAGGAAGGAGAGCTGGCAGAGAGAACCCACCTGCCAGGAAGAACGCGGGGTAGGCTGGCATGCAGCACAGGGACGAAGAATGGAGTTGACTGACTCAGCAGGGCACAGAGCCAGCTCCAAGTCTGGAATCTGAAACTGCACGCCCCAGGGCTGACGTGCAAGCCACCACACACACTTGGCCCGACCCGGCCGGATGCCAGGGCGGCTGATCCCAGCAGCTGCGGTGACAGACGGGCAAGGAGGAAAACCCCAGCAAGGAGCAGGTTCAGAAGGCCACCATCTGGCCCAGCGTCCCCTAGTTGTCCGCCCCTGTCTGAGTGAAGGACAGCTATCTCGGGCCAGCCCAGGGCCCCTGCCGCTGCCTCCTCTTCCCCAGCTTCTTGTACCCAGAGAAACAATCACTTTCCCAACCTGAAAATTGTTTATCATCTACTCTTTGGGGACTTCTTCGGAGCCAAGTTTCAGACAAAACAACTTGCAGCCAAGGCTCCCAGAGGTCCCGGCTGTAAACAAGGCTCCGTCCTGGAACCTGGGACTGGCTCTGGATTTTAACCCAGACACTGCTCTTTGGAATGTGCCCTCTGACCCAGCACTGACCCACAGGCCATGCTGGGTCCCTGACAAGGGGCAACACCCAGCACCCCACACCTCCAGGTTACCCTGATCAAAGTAAGTGGTTTTAGGCGGTGATCTATGATCTGGAAACTGCATCAGAAAAAGAAGCAGCAGGTAGCGTAGAGGTTTGAGGTGCTAGACTCCGACATGGCTGGCTGCAGTTCGAGTCCCAGACCTGGTGGCCGGACACGTGTGCATTTGTACATAAAACCGCAAGAGGAGAATGGAGGAGAAGGGATTGCAGCATGGCCATTCCCTCTGTGTGTGGGGGTGGAGGTGATTTCTCACTTTCCTTCTCTCTGTCTTTCTCCAGTGGGTGCGTGCACCCTACAGCAAAAACCTAAAAAAAATTTTTTTAAATCAAAGCAGCCAGAGTGACTAAGTTTTATGTATTTCTTTCTTTCTTCCTTTCTTTTTTGGAGAAGTTTTTGCTATAGGGTACGTGCACTTGCCAGAAAGAGACAGAGAGACAGAAAGCAAGAAATCACCCCCCAGGGGGGATGGCCACACCGCAATCCCTTCTCCTCCATTCTCCTCTCGGGGTCTTGGGCACGCACGCACATGCACCTAGCATGAGTTTAAGCCGCCAGGTCCAGGACTCGAACTGCAGTTGACTACATGGGAGTCCAGTGACATAGCTATTACACCAACTGCTGGTTCCTATTTCATTTATTTTTGCTAGTCTGTAGACAATGAATTGAGGAATGAGAGGTCAGTCAGTTCCTGCCTTCAAGACATTTCAGACAGGGGCAGGATATATGAGTCATTGCCCTGTTCATTCTGTTATTAATAACCGAAAATGTCTGGGTGATTTACAAGAACAGAGGTTTGGGGTCAAACAGTGGTGAAACGGTAAACCATGATGCTCCGGGAAAGGTCCCAGGTTCATATCCAGAGACCTCTCTGAGCACGCTGGGCTCACGCATGCCTGTGATCCTGGTCTGGCTGAGGCTGGGGTGCCCTGCAGCATCGGGACCCTCCTGGGGGTGCTGTCCCTCTCTCCCGCTTTCTCTCACGCTCACTGGAGACATAAGCTTCAAAAGTAAAAAAGGGCCAGCAGGTGGCGTGGTGGTTAAGGCTCTGAACAGTCCTACATGGTCAACCACGGTTTGAGTCCCAGACCTGGTGGTTTGCTTTCTCACTTTCTCTCTCTCTCTCTCTCTCTCTCT